CTACCCTCTTACCTGTGATGGCTAGTAGGTGACTCCAGCCTGTCTTGAGTTGGGTGACACGAACATTAGATAATAATCCTCCTATCAGCTGTGGTGTTGTTAATACTTGTTGACTGTGGTCTTTTGTTAGTTCATCTGGAGGCCTTCCACACTGTCCATGTTGATTGGAGCCCCAGCAGTACACCTGCCCTGAAGCTAAACAAAATGTTGCTGGGTTAATTTCTTACTCATCCACCCAACACAGTGCTTCATCTTAATCAACACTCAATTAACCTACAAATTAAGTTCAAAATAACTATTACTGCTACTGCGCACAACCATTTCATCTGCTGAACATATGTTACTGGGTAGAAGTGTTTCTTTTCACAGCAATAAATAGTTGCTGACTAGTTCCCAATGGCTTCACCACTGCTCTTATGCAAATGGCCCTATGCAGGATTTTTGTTCTACCTCAATTTTGGTCCCTGCTTGGATGACCTATCTACATGGCCAGAACAAGGTTTAAAGTGGCCAGGAACCAATTTTATCTGAGCTATAACAAATTACTGCCATTAAGTGTGACTGGGCCTTTCTTGGTAAATAGCTCCTGATCTAACCGGTAAAGTCCCTGGCCCGATCCCCCACTTGGGGGCAAGGAACTGAAGAAGAACTGGTGATGATATGTTACAAATGTAAAGAGCCTTAAAACTGAACTTACCTGTTAATGCAGCCGAATGGTGTGATCCTGCCACTACCTCTATACTTGTCTGTTGTAAACCATCTGGGAACAAAACTGAGCACAAGAACATACTTATCACAATTCAACTGCAGTCTTCACAAGTGATGCGATCATTCAGTATTTTGGATTGACCAAATTTTACATTAACGAATGATAGCCAAGGAGCATTCTTCCTTGCCTTGGGCCAGAAGCAATACAGGCTCTGTCTGTATTTCATTCATCTGTAACAACATAGACAATCCTTCGGATTCAGATACCAGACCCAATGAACACATACAGCCTAGTGTAGCATAAAATGGGTGTTATGAACTGTCTTTGTGTGGTGCTTTTGGACAACATGGTGTATGTGTTGTGTTTCATTTGTACCCTTACATTGGTATTTTTCTTTGTGTTGGCGTATGGTAATAAATTAAATGTATATGAAATAAAGAAAAATTCCAAATTGTTCCAAGGGTAATATTGAACCTCAACAAATAACATTATAAGTAAACAATTTTAATGACAACTTGTCATAGACTAGTATCCTGTCGCGAGGAGCAGTAGTAAGACTCAAGTCACAGCTTGACACTGGAACTGCAGTTAATATCACTTTGATTGAGTGGTGTTAAACCGATAAGCAAGATCTTATTTGAGTAATGCAGTGGATTCAGTGTAGTTATGACGCCGCCATGGTAAACCATGCCCAGCCAGGTTCAGTTATAGTGCTACTTAGAGTAAAATATCTTTCGCCTTACCTTGTTGAGGAGTAGAACAATTGGATCCCGTTTTTCCTACACCAAGCTGGCCCTTTTTATTAGCTCCCCAAGACCAGACAGATCCATCAGCTTATATGAAGAGGAAAATTAGCCATATTTGGTTAGCAACATAAGTTAATTGTACAAAGCAACTAACTACATGGTTCATAATCAGTTTTATCTGAGTTAATAACTAGTTAGTAGTAGCTGTTTGATGAATACAACATAATCATCTTGAGGTATCCTAGGAGAACAGAACTTTACCAAGAATGGCAACTGTGAACACTTCACACACAATATACTACCAGTACCTGTGGACCTGTAAAACAACTTATAGAATGTGTCATTCTCCATTATCACTCACCTAAAGCAACCAGTGAATGTCTGAGTCCTGCTGCAATGCTGAGAACTTGTTCATTTGGGAGATTCTACTAAAGATACATGAAGCAAACACTATCTTCATACCTTATAACTTTTGATAGAAAGTGCTAAATGTATTAAAAGCCAGAGATAATAAGCATCATTTGGATGGATAAGGCTGAGAGAGGCAAGAAAAATAGATCTTGATAAATTATACCCTGGTGATCAACCTCTAAGGATCCTTTAATTTCCTGTAGGATCTTGAAGGATCCCTTAGTATTCTTAATAGTCATAGAATCTATATAGGAACCTCAAAGATCCTGCACAAATCCTTTATGAACCTCAAGATCCTACATGAGAGACGACAAAAACATCCTTCTAGAGATACTAGAAAAGATCATCCAAGATCTTTACAGGAACCTTGAGGATTGTGCAGGAACTTTCAGGATCTTATTGGAATCTCAAGAATCTTTGCAGAGACTTGGAAGAAAATGAACAATCTTTGCAAGATCCTGCAAAATCTCTGATGACCTCTATGAAGATCCTAAAACATTTCACCAAGGTTCATAAAATATCCTAATGCAGAATTTCAAAAATCATTAAGGACCTGTATAACATCTTTTCCAGGGTAGACTCCCCAGAGTAATACAGGAAAGGCACTCACTGAGTGTAGTATTAACCTCTACTACTAGATAACTGTGCATGTATGTTCTATAAGCAGGAAGAAGGTTCCAACGAAAAAACATTTACCTGTGAACATGGCCTACCGATGAGACATTTCTTTAGCGAGTCTGTTCATGGGGGAAAGGCGCAATGAGGTTAACCCTATGTAAAGCACCAACCTTTAAGGCAAGTCCAGACCACGACACCGGGAACTCTGTCGCTAAGTTACTATATATGGCAAACTATATCACAGTAGAAAGTACCTGACATAGCACAGGACTTGTCAACTGACCACCAAGTGTTCCTATACCCAACTGTCCAAATGCATTAGAGCCCCAAACATAAAAACCGACATCTAAGGAACATAATCACAATCAAACATTAATATGTTTACCCAAAGCTCATACAGCTAATAAATCTGTTATCACTTGGTCCATGAAGAGATCTGAGGTGTGACAATCACGCTTGCATACTTTGTAAGTCCCCTCAACAAAACCCAAGAAAAATATGTTGCAAAACATTTCTTTTTTTTTTTTTCAATTCATACACAACATGTCAAACAAACAATTTCATATAGTCTAACACATCAAATCTATTCTTCACACCCTGAAAAAGAATAGCTTTTACTAAAAGATACAAAACCTCGCAAATCACAATATTTTATAAACCTGTGTGGGGATAAATTTCTAAACTTGTGGGGAGTTAAACTACACAACACCTTTGACACTGAGTATTACCAGCAATCACCAAAGTGTGATTCCATCCACATGACACTTGTCTGACAGAACTGAGACCCTGAACATGACACAGAACAGGCCTGTCTTGTGTATCACCCAAACCAAGCTGCCCTTTGTTATTCCAACCACACATAAAAAGCTCTTGACTTTCTGAAAAAAAAAAAAGAAACAGAAAAGAACCATGTCACTGGGTTTGGTGGAGCAATATGCTGCATACAACATTTAGCCTACTGTTGTTTATGTGAGTCAGGTTTTTCTAAATAAATTAAGCACAGACCGCAAATCTGAACTGAGCTAAGCTGTGAAATATAACACCTGTTATCACCGCTGTGTGCCCTCCACCACCTTGTATCATTGCAACTGCTATGTTTTCTGGAAGACAACCAGCATCGATATTTTCAGGAGACAACACATCCTTCTCATGACCAAAACACAGTTGTCCGTAGCTATTTGCTCCCTAGAAAGAAAAGCAGCACAATCAGTTTATTTAGGCATGTTGTTACATTATAACTTATTCATACTGCAGACTAACCCATGAAAATAATCGAGTTTTCGATTTTTCTGTACCATACTCGTCCACCATCTTGTCTCAGTAGATACGTGGTGTAACAGTCATGGTTGGAGTTTCTAGAGCCAGTCCTACTCCGAAACAAATCGCCATTATCAGGCTCTCTGGCTTTCACATCCTTTCACATACAACAACTATTTCAACTGTCGTATCGTCTGAAACCATTTTAAAGTGGTAGGGTTGAAAAAATTTGGAACAAGCATTAGGGGTAAAAATTCATACACTATCCGTGTCATCTGGAGCCCAAAAAAGTCAACCAGAAAAAAAAAAGTTGCAGGGCTGTTTACTTAAAGGTTTTATAGTGAATGGTTTGAACCCAGGAGTATCAGCAGTTCGTATAGTGTGATCGTCCGGGTGAGTGTAGTTCTGAAAAGAACTGTTGTTGGTGACTGACGTTCGAAAACCTGAGCGGAAGTCATCTTCAGAGTCAAGTGAATGGTGTTTGTCAGTCGATGATGTTATAAGTCTGGTCTGTTGAACGTAATTGGTCAGTATAGCCATGATGGTATTGGCTGAAAGACTCGTGCAAAGTTTGTCATCAGTCATTGGTGGGTTTCGAT